CAAGCCTTTTTCAAAGTCCAATTGTGCTACCACTTGTCAGGCTATAGGTTAAATGGCTGTCCTCTGAGATTTATTTCCTTCTACCAAGAGGACAAATTCACCATGGGTTCCATGGCCAGGAATTCCCCAGTCAGCTATTGGATCCCATGCATAGGCACAGTCTACATGGAGAAACTAAAGTGATGGTTAAGGAGACAGCCTCTCAGTCTGGCACTGGTGGTTCACACCTGTAATCCTACTTGGAAGGCTGAGATCAGGAGGATCATGATTCTAGGCCAGCCCAGGCAAATAGTTCCTGAGACTCCATCTCCAAAATAACCAGAGCAAGAACTGGAGGTGTGGCTCAAGCACTAGAGCAGATGCTTTGCAAGTGTGAAGCCCTGAGTTCAAATCCCAGTCCCATACCACCCCCCCAAAAAAAGGAGACGGCCCCTCAACCCCCATTTCTATGGTGGAATGGTCCCAGCAATGGGCTCTGCCCACCCTAGGGACTCATAATAAAAACAGATCTATTCTCTATAAAGAACTTTAAGTTCTTTAGAGCCTGAGGTATGTCTGTATCCCCAGCATCTACTTCAGGAGCCAAAGAAACATATGTAGGGAAAAATTCTGATGCATTAAACCCCTACTTACCTGAGAGGGGGAAATCTGATGTTTCATCAGGACCCCGCATGGTAAATTTTCTTTTCTCTCTTTTTTTTTTTTTTTTTTTGGTGCTGGGGATTGAACCAGGGCCTGACACATACTAAACATGTACTCTACCACTAAGCTACACCCCCCAGCCTCCCATAGGGTACATTCTTGTGATCTCTGGGGCATTTGGCTTCTGGGAGACCATGTGATAATGTCAGAGACTGCCAGAGAAGAAGGTTAGACTTGTGGACTTGGGAGACCTGCTCCACCAGCACTCGTTCCCTGTGTTTGGGAGCACAGAGACCTGGGTTTGAATCCCAGTTCTCACTTGTATGAACTCTATAATTCTGAGCCTCAGTTCTGTCATCTATGGAATGGGATGTGCCTAGCTAAGGTGCTCCATTTGACCATCACCAGATGGGGGAAATCCCAAGAAGGGAGACTCTGGAAACTTCCAGTGACCCCAAATCTTTACTGAGCACCTACTATGTGCGAAGCAATGTGGTAGGAGCTAGAAAAGCAAAAAGTTGTATGATCTCATCTTTTTTCTCCAAGGGGTCACAATCAGTTCAGAAGGCAACATAAGCAGTGGAGAGAGCAAAATCCCAACCCAACCCAACTGCCAAGAGACGTCTTAAGGCTGTGCAGGAGTAGTAACAGACTGCTCACCATGGTGTATACCTGTAATCCCGGTGCTCAGAGGGTGACCCCATCATGGGATCCCTGTCTCAGAGTGATGAGGGATGACTTTCCAGGGGGTGGCCTTTCTGCTCAGGGTCCAGTGTCCTGAAAGTGCTCACCTTGTTTTACTCTTTTAACACTCATTCATCTCATTCAACAGTTGTTCACCACATGTCCTTGTTGCCAGGCCTAGTTGTAGAAGATGTGTTGTTTCTGTGCTTACAATGCTGCATTATGGGCTGGATGCTAGTGGCTCACGCCTATAATCCTAGATCCTCAGGAGGCAAAGATCAGGAGGATCATGGTTTGAAACCAGCCCCAGGAAATAGTCTGTGAGACCCTATCTCGAAAAAACCCATAAAAAAAAAGGGCTGGTGGAGTGGCTCAAGGTATAGGCCCTGAGTTCAAACAAACCCCAGTACTAAAAAAAAAAAAAAAAAAAAGAAAAGATGCAGAATTATAGTGGCTGGGGTGTAGCTCAGTGGTAGAACATGTGCTTACCATAAACAAGGCCCAGGGTTTGATCCCCAGCAGGGAAAAAAAAGTGCTTATAGTTTAGGGGAGATGGACACTGAACCAAGAATGTCATAAACAGGTGTATATATAAATTATTATCAGGGTTAATGAAAGTATATGTAATAAGGGGACCTAGTTGAATTAAAGGACCAAGGAAGCCCTCTTTCAGGAAGTGATATTTAATTAAGTACTGACAAATGAGTAGGCTTTAGCTAGGCAAAGAGAAGGGTTGAAGTGGGGTTGGGGGCATTCCAGAAAGAAAAAGAATTAAAAACAACAATAACAACAAAAAACAGTGCAAAGTTCCTGAAGAACAAGAAGCCCATGTTGGAATTGCTCCTGGGCAGGAGAGAAAGCCACATGGCTGGTTATAAACAGAGCTAAGGGAGGAGAGTTTGGGTAGAGACTTTGGACTGGCATTTTTCTAAGAATGAGGAATAGACCAACAGTAGCAAACTGGATACCTCTTAAAAATGAAGATTTCTGGGCCTTATTCCCACTGAACAAGTGATTTGTTACACTCTAAGTTTGAAAATCTTCTAATCCCAGCTACTCAATAGGCAGATATCAGGGGTTCAAAGCTAGCCTGGACAAATAGTTCAGGAGACCATATCTCGAAAAAAATACCATTATGAAAAAGGGCACTCCACTTGTGGAGTGGCACAAGGTATAGGCCCTGAGTCCAAACCCTGGTACTGCAAAAAAAGTTTGAAAACCACTTTTCTGAACCAGTGACAGGTGTTACTGAGAAAATCAGAAAGGTTTTAAACCCTTTCTTGACTAGATTTGTATTCTAAAAGGTCCCTCTGGTTTTTGGAGGAGGCTGAGTTGGATGCAGGAAGTGGATTTGTTGCAGAGGTTGAGGAGGGGACAGGTAGACTATCTCAGGTTGGAGGTGATTTGGCATAGAACAAGAGGTGAGAATGGACATGGACCAGAGGGAGTGGATGGATTCATGAGATACTTTGTAAAGGAAAGACCTTTATCATTTATTACAGAAAAATCTACATTCATCTTTTTTTGTGTGTGGTACTGGGATTTGAACTCAGGTCTTCACTTTTGCCAGGCAGGTACTCTACCACTTGAGCCACTCCATCAGCCCCCTTTTGTGTTGGATATTTTCCAGATAGGATCTCTTGAACTATTTTCCCAGGCTGACTTCGAACCATGATCCTCCTGCTATCTGCCTGTAGCTAGGATTATAGGTGTGAGCCACCGGCACCCAGCTACGTTTGTCTTTTACTTCCCCTGATTAGGTAAATAACACATGATTGTTGCAAAATTTCAGATATACAGAAAACAACAAAGAAAGTAAAGATAGGTCTAGAAGCATGGCTCAAATAACTGAGTACCTGCACAAGTGCAAGGCCCTAAGTTCAAATCTCAGCACCACCAAAAAAATGTAAAAAGTAATTGTTTAAATTATTTTTTTTCTTGTGGGACTGGGTTTTGAAAACCAGGTGCTCACAACTTGAGCTATACCGCCTGTCCATTTTGCTCTGGTTATTTTGGAGATGGGTATCTCTTCAACTAGTTGCCTGGGCTGGCATTGAACCACAATCCTCTTGATCTCAGCCTCCCAAAGAGCTAGAATTACAGGAATGAGCTTAAAAATATACAGGTCTGGCTAAAAAATAAAAAAATTAAACTAAAGAAAGTAAAGATAAACATTTTGATATATATTCTTCTAGAATTTTTATATACATGTATACTTAGACATATGAATCCAATTTGTTACTTACAACATTGGAAAAAAAATACTTGTTGGATTTTTTTTTTTTTTTCTGGTGATGCTGATGTTTGAATTCAGGGCCTACACCTTGAGCCACTCCACCAGTCCTTTTTTGTGATGGATTTTTTTGAGATAGGGTAAGATCTCATGAATTATTTGCCTGGGCTGGCTTTGAACCGCAATCCTCCTGATCTCTGCCTCCTGAGTAGCTAGGATTACAGACATAAACCACCAGGTACCCATCATGGATTCTTGATTTTCGAGACAAAAATATATCATGAGCACCTTGTCAGGCAAATATAGACTATACAACATACATTTATTTATTTATCTATCATGGTATCGGACCCAGGGCTTTGCACATGCTGAACACATGCTGTACTTCTGTGTTACACCCTCCAGCCGTTGACCTATATAATTTTTAATGTCTGGGTGGTATCCCACCGAATGGATTTACAAGTCCCCTATTGATGTATATTTAAGTTGTCTCCAACATTTCATGTTATTATAAACAATCTCCTTCTACGCTCATTTAGTAACACAGTACTTATTCTCTTAGAATAGCTTTTTGCTAGTGGAATTGCTAGGTAATTGGCAAACTGTCTAGTTTTTGGGGTTTTTTTCGGTACTGGGGTTTGAACTCGGGGCCTTCACCTTGAGCCACTCCACCAGCTCTTTTTTGTGATGGGTTTTTTTTCCGAGATAGGGTCTCTCGAACTATTTTCCTGGGCTGGCCTCGAGCCACAATCCTCCTAATCTCTGCTTCCTGAGGAGCTAAAACCGGTGCCCCGCCTGTCTAGGTTTAATCACATACACTCATGCTGTCTTCCAAGGGAAGGTGTAGTGAGGTTGGGACCAAAGTTAGGGAACGGCAATCTTTCAGGCTCCTGGTTTGCCCTTTTGAAGGACTGGCTTTTCTCTGGATTTTCTTTCCTAGCTAGCAGAGATGTAACGTGTGCATCAGGAATGTCGGGTTGGAGACCAGTCCAAGCAGGGCACGCCTAGCCTCGCCCTCCAGCAGGGGCTTCGGCAGCCCTTGCAGCCCCTAGAAACCCCCAGGCCCCGCCTCCCCACCCCATGGGAGGGCGTGTTAGGGAGCAGCTAATGCAGGAAAGATTGCTCCATCCACGGTTTGAAAAGGAAGTCGAGGAAGATCAGTGGTAGGTCCCAAAGGCCAAGTCCCAGTAGCCGGCCCGGATCCCAGTTGCACCGCTATGCGCGGGGCTCGAAATCCTTCCCTTCCACCATTTCTCCAGCCTGACTTTTTGCTGGATACCGGCCCTTTAAGAAACTGTCACGGTGGCGCTGCAGGCCCTCCCAGCGGGGGGAGGGCCGAGAGGGAGGGGAGGGGTTCGTGGTGGCTGAAGCTGGCGGGGGGGGGGGGCTGGGTCTATTTTTAGCTCCGGGTCGGGTCACGTGACGGGAGTGACGTCTCCGAATGTTGTTGTTGGTGGCGGCGGCGAGCGGAGCCGGAGGAGCCGCCGCAAAGATGGAGGAGCCGTCGAGGAGGTGCTGCTGTTGCTGCCGCCGCCGCTGCTGCCGCCGCCGCCCGCGAAGCCGGTGCTCGAGCCGCAGAGGGTGAGCGCGCCGCATCCGTCCGGATCCCACCTCCCCCGGCCCCCCGGGACATGAGGCTGTACCCCCTTTTCCCGCCGTTGCTGCCCGCGGGCTCCCCGCGCGCGCGCGCCGCGCTCCGCGCCCCCCTTCCTTCCTCCCGGCGCCCGGTGCCAGCCGGCGCCCCCCGGGAGCGTCGCTAGCCCGGGAGCCGGGCCTTGGGCTCGCTGCGTGCGCCCCTCCCCACCCCTCCCGTGCAGGGTGCCTGCTCTGCAGGTAAGGGAGGAGCCCGTCTTCCCGCGCCCCCCAGTCTTCTCGGAGACTAGCCGTGTATGTCTGATTTTGTCCCCTCCCCAGCGGCGCATGTTGCGTTGCGGAGCGATTTGAGCTCTGCGCCCGAATTTTGTGCAGACCCCTCTTCTCTGGACACCCTTTTCTTAGTATTCTGAGGTGAGGGGCGCTGCCCACCCACAGCGCTTCTCCCCGTCACTAAGAACGCATCCTTGATTTTATGTCCTTGACTTCCGTGCAGGAGGAGGGGGATTGCTGGGCCCACCTTACTTCTCTTTCTCATTATTCTCACCCCCTCGCCTGTGAGGTGTTAACTGCGTTTGTTCCTTCCCACCCTCTTCTGTCTGACACCCTGGAGCTAGGGAGACAGCTAGGAGATGAATTGGAGCTCCCCACTTCTTGTCTGGGGTGGATGCCCCCCCCCCATTTTTCATCCTGGGTTTGTATCTCATGGAGGCAGGGGGTCCGGCTGCCGGTACCTTGTTAACTTGGGGGGAGTCTGCTTCTCTACCCCACCCTTCCCTGGGGCCCTGGGGAAGATGAGAACTGGCTGGAAGATAAGTAATCAATCTGGGCATATGGTGGAGGGGGCGAGAAAGGGAGACGGATGGGAGTACTTCATTTGGAAGAGGAGGTCACCACCTGATATCCCTGCCTTTGGCCTTCAGAGATGAGTTGAGTCTCTAAAGAAGAAAGGTAGCAGCTGCAGTTGCTTTGGGATGTGTGTGTGAAAGGGACCCATCACTCTGACAGTGACCACTATGTTTCTGGGACCTGGCATTAGGTTTGGAGCCAGTGGATGGTGGTGTTAGTGAAGATTGGGTTCAGGATCCTACTGGGAGGGAAGGTTGGAGCCAGATCATAGGAACAAAAGGAGGCAGGGGATGGGAGATAATGGAGATCCCAGAGTCTTGGTCAGAGAACCCCTAGCCAGATTGCCTTGCAGGGTTGGATCCGCTCTCTGGGTCCTGCCCTGGACCTCCTCTTAGTTCTGAGGGTGTAGTCAGGGAGGATCCTCCGGCTCCCAGGTCTCAGGCACTGGGACCCGTGAGTCTGCTGGCTGTTGAGACGCTGGGCTGGGCTAGGGATGTGGGTGAGCCATGTTGGGGGCTGCCTGCTCCATTACAGTCTTCTGTCCTTCCTTTCTTTCCCTAAAGACAACACTTAAGGGAGATCTTGGTTTGCTTCCTTTCCCTTTTCTTAAATCTTCTCTTTGCTTCTTTCTACTTGGACTTGGAACTGGGCAATGTTAGAGGAGCGGGCCTGCAACATCTCCACTGTCCTGGTAGTGTGTGCACCCCCGTGGCCAGAGAGACAGGTCCGAGGTGCAGGTTACCTGGGGGCAAGGGTGGAGGAAGTGTTTTCTCTGGGCCACCCCCCTGTGTGCTTTATAACTCTCTACTTTGGCTGCATCCTGTAATCTGGAGTGGGGGCAACAGTATCACCTGCCCCACCCACTCCAAGTAGCTGCAGAGACAAAGGTTTGCTTTCCCTTTGCTGGGGGTGGTGGCTTAGCTGTGTGCTTAGAGGTGGGGCCTGGGAATGGGGGGTCATTAGTGTTTCTGCATGGCAGGGGAGGGGGATCAGCCATAGGAGCTGGGGGTAGTGCAGTCAGTGCTGAAGTAGCAGCTGCTCTTTAATAATTAATTCTTCCTACTCACATCCCTTTGAGGAGGGATGTCTGGAACATGGCATCAGGCTCAGCCAGCCTGCTAGAGGACGCACTCCTGTTGGTGATGGTGGGGGGAGCGAGAGAGAGATGGCAAGGGGGGGCGGTTCTTGGCATTTTTTGGAGCACTCTCTCTTGCTCATGAATGAAAACCTGATACAGTCCGTGAGGAAGCCCATTGTAGCCGACTTTGGCTAATTAAACTTTCTCTGCCTTTCTTCTTCCCTTACCCCACCTCACCCTGGCCCTTTCTTGAATGGGAACCCTGTCTGGTAGTGCTGGGTAGGGGGTATTAGTCTTGTCTGAGGTTTTAGGGCAAACAGGCCCCCTCTTCTACCCTCTATCCGCCTCCTCCTCCCTTTTTCCCCTCCCCCCCCTTTTTTTTTAGAAATAGCAGCCTCCTCCATCTGGCTTGTGCAGATGCCTGGAGCTGCGTCTGAGCAGACAAACAGAAATGGGCTGGTTGCAAAAATGAATTATCAGCTTGGTGCCTTTTTTCCTCCCCTGTTGCCTTCTCCCTTTCCCTAGTTTAGGATCTGGACATCTAAGTCAGCCACCCTGAATGGCTGTGATCCCTCTGGTCTTCTTTTGGCTCGGTTTTGGGGGCACAAGGCAGTGGAAGTGATCAGAAGCTGGGGAAATTGGTCTGTTGTGGACATGGTCAGGAGAGGTCAAGATGAGAAGCCCTTGGTGCCTTTGGATGGGATATTTGATCTTGGAGCTTTCTCATGCAGTCGTTGTGGCAACTGAAGCTGATGTCAGACTCACAGGACTGCTGGACCATGCTGCCTATGACCTGGGGAGTAGCCCTGGCCTGGAAGCTCAGAACTTGGGTCTGCCTCTTTGAAGGCCAGCACTGGTATGTTGGGGGGGTTGGCATGGAGGTGCTAGAGTCCAGGTTATGGAGAGGCCTTCCAAGGTGCGCCTGACCCAGGGAATTTTGAGGGACAAGATCACTTCAGGGCAAAGTTGTGAATTTGTGGCCTTTGGGGCATTGCATTGCTCCAGTCTCCCTCACTTGTCTGCCCTCCTCCCACCTTCTGCTATGACAGAGTTTTTATTACGGGGTGGGGGTGTCTCTCTAGGTAGGTTTTTTGCACTTCCTCCTTCAGGTTAGCCAGTGAGATTCTGCCAGTTTCCTGCATTCTTCTTGCCCTGCTGTCCTGACTGGAAGTGGAAGGTGGGTTTGCATCCTGGGGTGGGGTAGAGTCTGGCAGAGAGAGTTGGCCACCAGGGTGAGGGGAGCAGGACCCTGGGGATCTGCATTCTGGGGACATAACAGCTGGGCTTTCATTGATTTGACATCCAAGTGGTGGGTAGTCCAGGAGCCACACAGCTCCTGGCCGCCAGCTGCCCACTCCGACCCTCATGTAACAGTGAGTTCTCTGCAGAGGCGGGCACAAACAGCTCAGGTTCTGAACACCAGGTTGTCCTCTTTCCCTTTTGTGCCCCACCCCAGCTGCTTTGTTTCCCAGGAAATCCTGGCTTGTGTCTCTTGTTCACCTGGGAGATTATTTATTTATTTAAACAGCATCTACATAGCCCTGCTATATAGTTCAAGCTGGCCTGAAACTCACTACATAGACCAGGCTGGCCCTAAACTTGTGATCCTCCAGGCAGACACTCTCTGCAGGTGGACGGGGCCAGGGGATACTGCTGAGTCCCATGAGGAGGGGAGAAATAGAGCATACCTGGGTTCTGAGCGCCCTGTGAATTTGAGGAGTTCTTGCCATTGAGAGAGGCTGGGAGGGTGAGGGTAAGGGCTAGGGACTGGTTTAACTATTTTTCTCATTGGGCTTCCCCTCCTGAGCACCCTGATGTAGAGGTGCTGTCACTAAGGAGAAGTGCTGGGCAACTTAAGCTACTGGCAATCGTGGGAATTTCTGAACCTGTATTCCCCAACCCACGGGAAAGGGTGTGAGCAGGACTGGGCGCCAGCCCTGGTGTGGGCATGGACTGAGCTGCCTGCCCACGCTGGCCCAGCCAGGGCACCAACAGCCCCACCTGTTGCATTCCTGAACTTGGCTACAGCCCTGCACAGCCTCTTTTTGCCCTTACCCCATACCTGTGGCTGTCCAGAGCAGCTCAGCCCCTTCAACCCCGACCCCCCAGTCTCAGTGTATCTTTCTGCAGCTACAGAGTCCAAGCCTGTGGGAAAGAGCAGGGGGCAGCAGGTCCAGGACTTTGGGTCTTCTGGGTGCATGTGTATGCATGTCTCTGTGTCCCTGCCACAGCTGCTGTGGGCTTCTGGGTGCCAGATAGACCCCACCCCAGGAATCCTTGATGAGAACTGCAAGGCTTACTGAGAATTAATCCTACCAGGAGGTGGGGCTGTTTGGGAGGCAGGGTTGATTGCCTACTGAAGAAAGCAGAGTTAGGGCTTAAACATCCAGCAGCTTTCAGCTTCCTCTGATCGCTTCCTGATACTCAATTTCATTGGGTATTGGAGGGCCTATCTTCATTTGGTAGCAAATGAATGAGATCATGTCTGGGTGGATCGTGGGCTGTATAGGGATTGGCCCAGATAGGTTTGTGCCTAGTGTCTGAGGCTTAAGGACTAACTATGGGACTGGTGCAGGGAGAGGTGTGGTGGGAATGGCTTGGCAAACCCATGATCCTCTAATAACATTCTCCATTATTATATGGGCCTCAGCTACCGTTGGGCTTTTTGGTGCCTTTATATAAATTGGAAAAAGATGTCCTTTGTTTTGGTGGACTCAGCATATGTCAGGCTGAACATGAGCTGGATTTTATACGTCTTTATACAGGCACAACCTGCACAGCACATGTAAAACCCTGGGCATGGGCCCTGGACCCCCCAGGCCAGGGTACTGGATCTGGGATGGACATCTCTGACTTCCCTAATTTCTGAAAATGTATTTTTGTGCCCTGACCTGTTGTTGAGTTGGGGGAGACTAAGACAGAAGCACATCTGTGGGGGCTGGCAGATTGGTTTAGGTGGTAGAGCGCCTGCCTGGCAAGCATGAGGCCCTGAGCTCAAGGCCCAGTCCCACCAAAAAAAAAAAAAAAAAAAAAAAAATCTGCATTTCCAGCGGTGAGTGGTGAAAGTAGGGAGAAGACGACTGTTCCCCTGGAAGTCCCAGCTTAGGCTACTGAGGTGGTACCGGTGTGTCCCTGAATTTCTGCTAGGGTCTCTAGGTCATCCCTCTATCTCTTCACTGTCATGGATGGTGACTGAAGCCTCCTGCACTTTTCATTTGGTGATATCTTGTCCCACGTCAGAGACCCTCAGGAGTCTGTCTGTAAGGTCTATGCTTCTGGGAGGGGACATGATGCCTGCAAGGAGTTTGCTTGGCTGTGGCCACTGTAGCCATTTCCTATCCCTTGGGCACCAAGAGCCTCACTGGTTAGGAAGAGAAGAAACCAGAGTCTGGTCCAGTTCTGCTGAGTCCCTCTATGCCTCAGGACAGGTGTCCCTTTCCCTCTTCCAAGGTGTAAACTGACTGCTCCAAGGTTCCCTTCAGCTATCAGATTTCTGAGTTGGGGGCCTCTAATCCTGCTCCATCTCTCCCCAGGGATGCCGTTCTGAGTGCCTGACTGTCTCGCCCCGAAGGATGGCCTTGGATGGGCATTAGAGGCACGGCGGCCCCGGGCTCCCATCCCGTCCGTCTGTCTGTTATCATCGTCTGTCTCTCTTGACATCACTGCAGCTCCACCCCCTCCTGTCCCAGCCCCCAGCGACAGCTTCCTGTGGGCCCAGAGCCGGCATGAACTCTCCCAACGAGTCGGGTAAGAGCTGGGAGGTTGGAGAAGAGCCCCGGGGCAGCTTTGGATGCGATGGGCTATGTGGGTTTCCCACCCAGGCCGGCTGACAGCCAGTGTCTGAGAGGGGTTAGGAGTGGAGTGGCATTGTGAGAAAAGGACAGAGGCCACCCATGGGGTAGGCCTGGGAATTGATGGCCCAGGCAAGGCTTAGGTTTACGTCTGTCCCTGTACTGCTCCTCAATTTAAGAGCCTTTTATTCCCTCTTTACCCTGCCCTATTGGCTTGGCCAGGCCAGGCAGGCCTGAGGGGGTGTGTACCCCAGAATTTCCCTGGGTCTGGGGTGGTATTAGAAGCACTTCAGTAGCTGAATTCCCATCTTCCTTCTCGTGAGGGCTGGAATGTTTCTCTGTTCCATTTCCATACTTTTTCTTGGTGGAGGTTTGCAGGGTCCTAGGCCTTAACCTTGGTGCTTGGGTGTGTGGTGTTAGGATGGGAGCGGGGTGTCATGTTTGTAGAGGAGTCTTGGCTCTCTGCACAGTGCAGGTAGACTAACCTTCTTCCTCTTGGGCACTGGACATGGTGGATTCCTCATTTGGGATCTTTTACTCTTGAGATTTCCCATTCCCCTCTATTAGGACTCTGCCCAGTGGCAGCAGAAATCGTTTAAGGGTGGGACTCCAGGCAACTTTATGTTCAGGTGGGACTAGATGTGCACCAATGAGGATGTGTCCAAGTAGCTTGAGCCAGACCCTCATGAGTTACCCAGGAGGGTCAAGGGTCAGAGTACCTGCCTTCTCTTCCTTGAGTGTCTTCTGCACAGTCTGAGAAATTCAGTGTCCCTCTTGCTCATTTTTATGCTCCATGGCCCATCATGTCCCCACATCTTTTTCTCTAGGGGTAAATGGATGGACATTTTTTTTTTCTTTTAGAAACAGGGAACTTGGGGCCTGGGATGAAAACCCATCTACAGTGTGGTCCAGAAGCAGCAGCCACCACCGATTTGCTCCCCTTCGTTCCTCCTGTGGGGTTTATGGCCCCCTCAGGTCATTCTGCTTCTGCCCTTGCTTTTGTCCAACCTGTAGGTGCTGTGCCAGGTGGGGTCTTGAGTTCTGACTTCCTATCTCTTAGGCTGGGTTTTGAAGGGACAGGAAAGGCCTAATGGACATTTGTCAGTCCCTCTTTGCATCTCAGCTGAACACTGCTCCTTGTGTAGATCAGTTGTGACTGAGAGTAGTACCAGCTGCTCCCTTCCTCTGAACTATGGCACTGACCTTTCTAGGAGCCATCTCCAGCCCTCACTTCACCTGGGGACTAGAGTATAACCCTTGGCTGGGGCACAGAGGCTGCCCAGAGGCATCCATTGGTGGCTTGGGAAGGACCTTTCTTAGCTGTGGGGTTTCATTCCCTTGTAGTGAGTTACAGTAATCCACTCAGGATAGATGAAGTTACTGGATTGCCTTTCTAGATGCTGTAGTTCTTGTAGCCACTTCAGTCAGAGCTGGCCAGAATGTGGTGGAATCTAAAGGGGTCTGGCAGCTTGGGAGCCGCTGACCTGTCCTGGGAGGGTGGGCCTCCCAGGTGGGCCTATGGCATTGACTGTGCTTCTGGGTTGGCTTTCCAGCTCCCCCCAGTAGGGGGAGATGCTGTCTTCCCTGTGTTTGGGAGGGAGTGAGAGCAGGAGGGGACCTGGGATCAGGAACCTCATTTTAGGAATGTTCAGAGGCTTCAAGGGACTGGGCACAGTGGCTCAGTAATCCCTGCTACTCAGAGGTTCAGAGGATTGTAGTTTGAGGCCAGCCTAGGCAAAAGTTAGGAAGACCCCCATCTCTACAAACAAGTTGGGAGTAGTGTCTGTAATCCCAGCTATGAAGGAGGCATGGGTAGGAGGTTCATGATGTAAGATGGGCCCTAGGCCAAAGTGTAAGGCCCTATATGAAAAATAACTAAAGCAAAAAAGGGCTGGGCTTGTGGCTCAAGTAGTAGAGTGCCTACCTAGCAAGTGCAATGCCCTGACTTCAAACCAAAAAAAAAAGAAGAAGAAAAAGAAAAAAGGGAGGCTTCAAAACTGGGGTCATTGCTTGGAGGTAATTCCACTGAGGCCTTTCCCTCAGTTTTCCTGTGGTTCTGGGACTGGCTGGAATTGGAGGGTTCCAGCTACCCTGTTCCAGGGAGACAGCCAACCTTCACTCAGCTCTCCTTTCTGAGGGACTCATGTCTGCTGTTTTCAGGTTATCATCTGGGCTAGGACTGTGGGTGCCAATGCAGAAGCCTGGGAACCACATGCTTTGGGACTCCATAGAAGTAAAATGAAACCACAGATTGTAGCCAAAGCACACAGGTGTCCATTTCCCTGCTATACCTTGCAGAGAGCCCTACGAAAGAAAGGCATGGAACCATGGGGCAGGTGATGGAGGTCGGAATGATGAAATGGTTAGTGCCCAGGCTCTGGGGGCCCGAGTTTCTGAATATCTTCCACCTGTTCCTGCCTTCTGGCCCACTTGGTGCTCTTTTCCTGGGGCTGAGAAGGACAGTTTTCTCCACTGTTGTTCCTCCAGTTCTTCTGCATGTCTCTAGCATCCTTGCTGAGCATCACCCACAAGCTCAGCCTCTGTGGAGCAAGAAGATGGGAGATGGTCCATCCCCGCTCTCACAGCAAGCAAGTTAGTAAGAGCTCCTGAGTGAGGGATGGCAGATGCAGATGGAGTGATCTGCTTTGCCTACTGTCTTGGGCAGTGGGTGCTCATCCATGTACCTCTGGGCTGGGCTGCATGCCAGCACTTGAACTCATCTACCATCTCAGTAGTCCTGTGAGTCTGAACAGAGACCATTGATGGGGCTGCCTGCCTCCCTAAGGAGTCCCTTCCCTGGGCCTCTACCTTCTCTTCAGAAAGAAGGGGTCCAGAGGAGCCAGGCATTCTTTATTTTGCTGGATGTGATCCCATCTGCGTGTTCTCCTCTGTGGGGTTGGAAGACTGACGATTTGCTGCGGCCTAGGCCAGCCAAGCCAGGTTGGAGGAGCTGTCCTGGGACCTAGGACTTGGACTGCCTAGGTCATACATACCTGTCCCCTGTGCCATTGCCCACAGGAGAGGGTAAGAGAGCTACCTGCCATGCAAGCCTGTCTGGGTAGTAGTAGGGCCTCAGAGGAGGCAGCTAGGTTCCTTATCCCCAGCATGGGAGGGAAACAAGCTTCATGACAATACCTGTCTGCTGAGCACCTCCCAGCACCCTCCACACTTTCTCTCCTTCTCTTTCCCAGGAGGGAGGACAGCTGCCCCCTCCCTTCTAGTTGACCAGTGAAACTGGGGCATAGGTGTAGGGTGGAGCCGGGAACCTTGGCGTCCTGTCTCCCAGCCTCAGGCTCTGCCTCTGAGCCCCTGGGAGAGAGGCAGGCAATCTGAGGAGGAGAAAGTGGGTCAGTGTTGGCATGGAGGGGGTCTGGGAAGTGGACCCCAACCTCCTCTCTCCATTTAGATGCCTCAGCACACTCTGCTCATTCCAGACTGGGGTCTGTTCCTCCTTCCTCTTCCCTGCTCCATTGTTCCAAATGGATTGAAGGTTTAGGATGGGATGGCAGGAGGAGGAAGGGTCAACATAGAGGGGAAGTGGAAGATGCCAAAGTAGGTGTCCACATTTTTCTTGCAATTGGTTTCCAATGAGAGGGCTCAGCTAGCACCTTGCATGGACCTGGCACATGCCTCTGTCTACCAGGCCATGCTGATGGACATTAGCACTACCGGGATCAAAGGGCAGGAAAGTACTGGAGGACAGGCAGGCCTAATGTCTCCAGGGTCCCTGGACTGGCTCTGTTTTTTTTCTTTTTTTTTTTTTTTTTTGAGGGGGATGCTGGGGTTTGAACTCAGGGCTTTGTGCTTGCTAGGCAGGCACTCTACCATTTGAGCCATTCCACCAGCCCTTTTATTATGTTGGGTATTTTTGAGATAGGGTCTCACAAACTGTTTCCCCAGGGCTGGTTCCAGAACGTGATCCTCCTGATCTCTGCCTCCTGAGTAGATAGGATTACAGGCTGGAGCCACTGGTGCCCTGCCAGCTCTGGGCTTTTGACTGTGCTTGAAGCAGACTCCTCTTCCCTTTAGGTCAGGGACGCGTGCCAGTGTTGTGAGAGCCTGGCAGAGCTGAAGGAGCCAGCATTGGGCTTCCCCCACCTCTAGCTTTAAGAGTTCAGAGACCAGAGTGCAGGGAGACTGGTGTTGACCTCAGCCTTAGAGGCTTTTCTGTAAGGTTTATGGGATAGTTCATGGACGGCTGGATGTGTACAGATGGAGAAGAGATGCAAGGAGTGGGTTAGAGCAGGAAGGATTGAGGTTAGACATAAAGAAGACCTTGTTACACACACCACCTGAATCTCAGAAGAAAAGAAGACACTTGTCCTCCTCCACCCCATTTTTATTTCCCTGTAGGATTTTGGGAGTTGTACTGAAGATTGTCTGACTGGGTTTGACACTTTTTGTCCTACTTGATGGAAGCCGTGGCAGTGCTGGGAGTTGGCTCTGGCCACCTCTGGATGCCAGTGTCCTGGGTGTTCCTGTCTTCCCTGAGCCGGGAATCCTCTTTGCTTAGGCATCTGGCCGCTCTGGGTTCTGGGGATACTGCTTTTGAGTGGTCATAGCTGATGACTTCTTCTTTAGAGAAGGGAGAGAAGGGCTCTTCTGCCATTCTCCTGTGCCTCGGGCAGGTAGAGAGAGCCAGGACAGGGCTAGCCAGCCCTTCTGGTTGCTCCTAGCGTGGGTGGGTGGAGTCTTAGGCTGGGAGGGGCTGCTTCCCACCCCAGTGCTTTCTGGGCTCCCTTGTATCTGCTGCCCATCATCTCACTGATGGAGCCTTGGCCCTTTCTTCTGTTCTCTTGAGAGGGCTTGGCTGGCCAGAATGACGTTGGGATGGGTGGTTGTGAACAAAGTCCCTGCCCTAAGATGCCTACCAACACTAGACCCTTGAGAGAGCACTGCTCCATTGCCTTTTTTCTAGAATCTCTGTCTTGACTGAGAAAGCTGTGAGTCTAGACCAGTTTGGTTCCTTTCCTAACACTGGGCACTCCCTTCCCCCCCAAGTTCCTGTATCTATATCTTGCCAGGCTAGGGCCTGGAAAAGCCTACCTTAGTCACCACCCCTATCTGTGTGCCTCCCTCCTCTCCCAGTCATCCTTGGTTAGCAAAAGCTGACTGAAAAGATGGGCCCCAGGAACCACAGTCTCTGTGTCCTTGGTTGGCCAGTTTCTCCCAGGCTCTTGACAGGAGGGTGAGGTCATCCAGTCCAGGGAGAGGACAGGTGTCCCTGGCTCCATGCCTGGAGTGGGGGGCAAGGAGGAGGCTCCAAAATAGCAACTGTGACATCAGGAAGGGGGAGGGGGACACAGACCCAGGAATAACCAGGCTATTAAAAGGCTCCAGTGAGGTCAGGGGGCCAAGTGGGATCTCTGTACCAGTGGGAGGCACAACCTGGAGAGAAAGGGCAGGCCAGTGGTGGGTAGGACTGGCAGGTGGCACCAATTCTCATGGTGCAACGACCCCAGGCTCCAGCAGGGCCCAAGGAGCTGAAGCTGCTCTGCCAGGCCTGGATGCTGACAGCCTCATGACTTCCTGGAGGGACTCCAACTTCCAGTCTGTTTCTGCTTGAGCGTGGGGGTCATCTTACCTGTTAACAGAAACCCTGTGGCAGCCTTATGCATTCTTTTGCACGTGAAGCAGTGGGACGTGGTGGTTAGGGCTCAGACTTGAGGCTCAGACCTCCCAGCCCTTCCATGTGAACAGCTGCATAACTTAGGGCCAGTGACTTTAATTGCTCCCTGCCTCAGTTTCTCTATCTTCACTTCTCTCCTGAGGTCATCATGCAGAATAAGATAATGTATGGGATGCTCTTAGCATTGCACCTGGCACACTGCCAGGGAAAAGCTGCCTGTGCTGAGAATGGGCAGGTGCTGCCCTGTCCCTTGCCTGGACTGGGTGAGGCCTGCCCAGGAAGTCTGCCTGCCCATGGAAAGAAGCTGAGCAGGCTTGGCAATGCTCCAGAATTGGTGGGAGGGAGTTGCCACTTAACTGCTGTTTAGGGTCTCCCTGCTGGTTAAGGGGGTGGGGAAGTACCTCCCAGTTCTGGGGGAGGGCAGAAGTTAAACAAACCCCCACAGGGCTGTCAGGATTCCAGGGAAGGAGCAAGGTTAGGCCAAGTGGCCGTCTGTCACCTCTTCCCCAGTCTTTCTGGTTCCCTTACCTGCACTGCACAAGAGGAAAAATAAGATCTTCTTGGTCTCTCGTCCACTGCTTGCCAACAGTAGTAGCCAGAGCTGCTCCCAGATTCATGGGTACCCCTGCCTGCGCCCTTCCCCAGCACAGCCTCTGGCCACCCAGCTCTGTGGCCTTGGCCCTGAGTGCAGGCCCTCTCTCATCCCCTCCCCCTCGCCTGGCGCTTCCTCTTGGGGTGGAACGCGCCTCCCCCCCATGGGGCCTCCGCCAGGCCTGGGCTCCTGGCAGCCAGCCGGCGGCTCCCTGAGCATGCTCCACCTATTTATAGACAGGGCCCTCCCCCAACTGCTATTTCAGTCTCCTGCCAGCTGCCGGCGGCTCATTCGGGAAGGAGGAGCAGGGAGCTGGCCCAGAGCTGTCACCCAGTACTGGGAGGGAACACAGAGAGCCTGCCTGCTTGCCAGGCTCTCCTTCCTGTCCCCTGAGTGCTCAGCCACATACCCCAGGTCCTGGGACCTGAGGACATGCAGTGGTAGATGTTCTGTAGAAGAGGGCAGGCCTGTAGCTTCAGGGCCTCCCCGGTGGGCCGTGCTACCTCCTGGAGCGCCCAGGCCGATGAGGTGCCTCCCTACCTTGTGTGTCCCAGTGGCAGCGGCCTGAGGGAGTCCCAGAGCAGCCGCCCTGCCTGACCACCTTCCCCTGGCTGGCTCCCGCCTCAGGCGGCCCCTCCCGGGCATGCTGCTGGTGCCCAAGGCACAGGGGCTCGTGGAGATGCTGCAGACCATCTATGAGACCGAGTCCTGTTTCTCAGCAGATGGCATGTTAGGCCGGGAGCCATCCTTGGAAATCCTGCCGCGGACTCCTCTGCACAGCATCCCTGTGGCAGGTAAGTGTCTCGTGTCCCCACCTGCCCTCTGCTCTTGGGCATCCTTGTGCTTGGGCTGAGCATGTGGCTCTAAGTCTCACCCAGATGGGGTCCTGCTTCAGTCTTTCTTGAGAGCTTTGTTAAGCATCTGTGGGATTGGGGAGCTGTGCTGCCAGGGTGGGCGTTCCTGCCCACACCCCTGCCCTCCTTGTCCTGTGCTTTCCAACCCTGTTCTGCTACATCCTCCAGTCCCTTTTGCCTCTGGCAGGGTCGACATCAGCTGCTGGGGGCTGGGGCTTACTAGAGGTGCGTGGCCTAGTTGGCATCATGGTCAGAGAGGAGGAAGTGGATCAGTGATCTGTCTCCAGGCTGCTTGCTCCCCAGGTTTGGGCAGAGGAAGAAGCTATAGCTAGGGTGTCCACAGGAATAAAAGGTACCCCAGCTCATCTGGTTTGATTTAGGACTAGAAGACTTGGTACAGTGACTTTGGTAAGTCTCTGGTCAGGAGTCTCCTGAGAGTGGATACTTAGGAAGAAGCTTGATGCTGTTGTGGTAGTGTTAGGCAGAGGCTGGCAGCTGGGCTCTTGAAGGATCTTGGCTCTCTTAGCTCGTAGCACCCCCCTATCTCTCTTCTCCGCAGGCCTTCGTTTATTTCCAGATCCTGAGGATGGAGAGGTGTTACTTTGGTTCAGATGGGTCGAGGACCCCCTAACATGGACTCCCCTTACCTCCTTGGCAGGAACTTTGTTGACTGGAGGTGGGAGGACCTGCAGAGCTGGGCCACTCCTTCCCTCACTCCCAGGAACCTGTTGGCAGCATTAGTCCCTTTCTGGCACAGTCTTCCCACCAGGCCGGCACCACAAGATGCTTCCTCCAGGGAGGGGCCTGCTTTGCCCCTCCTGGCAGTAGCTTGGCACTTGTACGGGTGTGTGTGTGTGTGTTGGGGAGTCCTCGACTCAATACGTGGGTGTGGATCCCAAAGTTCAAATTAGAAGGTGGGAGCTGTGTGCCTCTCTGGGTACCTGTGATGTGGCTTTGAGCTGTCCAGGGATAAGGTTGCAGCGGGACTGGCATGTGTCAAAAGACTGTCTTGAGAAGGTTCAGAAAATCCTTTGAACATGGCTTGCCATCTGCCTGGGTAAGGAATCCTACTCCGTGTCCTGGTGTTTGAGGCATAGCCCTGGAAACCGGCTCTGCAGGCTGCCCACCAGGCCTCTGGAATGGAATACAAACAGAGAGAGCTGTTTTTTGCCCTAGGTTAACTGAGCCTAGCCAAAGTCCCTACCCTCTGTTCCCCAGCCTGGTGTCTGGGTCTCCAGTGGACTCCTGGAAGACAAAGGACTGGCATACCTGTTTGCATACCTATCCAGTCATCCTGAGTGGGTCCCATGTCTGTTGCCTAGCTGCAGCAGCCAGCAGTTGGCCTGAAGTTTTCTCCTTAGCTTGTTTAATTACTTCCTTTCAAGTGAGACCCCAGAAACCCTGGAAGCTGAGACTTCTCTCCCCCACCCCTTCTCTAGGCCTGCTTGTTCCTGGGCAGATCCCAGCCAGCCCCTCTTTCCAGATTTCTACTCCCCTCCCCAACACTGTGTGTCTCTATCTATGCTGGCAGGAGGGAGGTGTGAGTCACCCCAGTGGCTCGGGGAAAGGGCTAAGAATGTTCCCCCTGAGCAGCTCTGATGCTGTGTCTGTGACGCGGCTAGAGACAGATATAGGCCTGGAGCTTGGCTGCCTTTTTTTTTTTTTTTTGGACTCTGGAATGTAAATAGATGTTTCAAATAGAAACACTTTAACCTTTGGGTTAAAAAAAAAATCCTCCCCAGATAAACATCACCATGAGGGCCCAGGCAGCCTGGTGTTTCCCTCCTTCCTCTGTCCCCTCCACGTCCTTCCCCGCCCCATTTCTCCATCAGTCTCCAGACAGGATGCAAAGAAAAAGCAGGTATACAGGGATGCTTTCTTTTTGGCAGCACTGGGGTTTGAACTCAGAGCCTCATGTTTGCTAGGCTGACGCTTTTACCACTTGAGCTACTCTAACAGCACTTTATTTGTGATGGGTTTTTTTGAGATAGGGTCTCTCAAACTATTTGCTCAGGGTTAGCTTTGAATTTTGATCCTCCTGATTTCTGCTTCCTGAGTAGCTAGGATTACAGGCGTGAGCCACCAGCACCTGGCTCAGGGATGCTTTCTTGCATGGTGTGTGTTGTGCAGGCCTCCCCAGCCCAAGAGATTAGATGAAGGGGCCTCCAGCAGCATGTCTTGGGAACCTGATTTGGGGGCATTGTTTGCTCTCTAGGCTGTCTTGTTGACTGCCATTACCCATCACCAAGCATAGTGCCTGGCACCTGGATGAATGAATGTTGCATGAGGGGATGGAGTCCAAGACTGCTGGCAGGAGTCCTGGGCTCTATTCTGGGTCTTGGCCCTCTGGGTGTATAGAGACAGCTACAGGGGGCACCTCAGTGGATGAGTCAGAGCCTCAGCCCCTTCAGGGTAGGGACATGGCTGTTCCTGCTTAAGGAGGAGACAAGGGACAAATCTCAGCTTCTAGTGGTGATTGGAGGTCTTTCTTGATGAATAAGGTTTCTGCCTGACTACCCTGCCACAGCCCAGCATACAGTACACACCACCATCACCTAGGCCTGGTCCTAACTTGTGGAGCCTGGGAGTTTGAACACCACTATGGGATTCCCAAAGACAGAGTTGGGGAATTCTCTGCCTTCTGTCCAGTTCTGGGTAGAGCTGATGCCTGGGCAGTATGCAGGCTCAGGGTAGGAGTCTCCTCTCCCTTCTGAGGGAGGGTGTGAATCTTGCTGTGCCAGGAAGGAATATTTGGGGTATTGTGAAGTCCCAAGTAGTTTGGATTTGGCCCTGGGCTTCCCCTGGATTTTCTTACTTATGCTCTTTAGATCGTTCCAAGCATGACTCTGTGTGTGTGTGTGTGTGTGTGTGTGTGTGTGTGTGTGTGTGTGTGTGTGTGTGTGTGTGTAGGTGTAGGTGTAGGTGTGGAGATGGTGGGAAGGTAGGAAGGGCAACACTCAGGTGGGAAGGGAACAATAATGTGCTAGGTAACTAGGGTACCTGGGATTTTCCTTACCCTCTTTTAGGAAGGATGTTAATAACTGTATTTCACAATTGAGAAGGAACAGAGAAGTTAAGGAATTTGTCCAAGGTCACAGAGTAAGTAAGAGCTGCAGTTTGAACTCATATCTCTATGTGGGGCCATTATTAATCCACACAAAAACTTCTTCTGTGCAGATTTTTTTTGGGGGTGGGAGGTGGAACTGAGGTTTGAACTCAGGGCTTCATGCTTGCAAAGCAGGTGCTCTACTGCTTGAGCCACACCTCCAGTACATTTTGTTCTGGTTATTTTGGATATGGGGTCTCAAACCTCAATCCTCCTGATCTCAGCCTTCCAAGTAACTAGGGTTACAAGCGTAAGCCATTGATGCACCGCCTTTTGTGCAGAGTTTTAAAAGGTGGTCCTTCTTCTTAGGGGAATGTGTCCTCATGCCAATGTATGTGGGTTAACAGTTCAGAGTATGGGCTAGATTTTGGGCCCAACTTGTCCTCTCAGTGCATGAGTGCGTGTGTGCAGTATACATCCTGTATAGCCTTATGTGCTGGGCCTGTCTAGGTGCCTCCAAAGCTTGTGCTCCTAGAGAACAGGGACATTCTGGCCCCTGGGAAATCCTGGGGGGTTCTGAGAGGAGTCTTTGTTTCTATAAATACTTGGGACCACTTGGTTGATTATCTCTATCCTTGCATGGATTTTGGCCTGAAGGAATGAGGGGCTCAGGAACAGTTATACACTGGCCTCCCATTCAGCCAATCTCTGCTTCCCCCATCCCTTCTAACTTTACCCTCCTCTTGTTTTTGAGACCCTCAGCTGTCCCTTCCCGCTTCACAGCTGCCAGACAGGAAATCAGATTAACTGTGTCCGAACACACAGCTGTAACAGCTGTCAGATTCGAAGCTGAAATGACTGTAGGCAGTCTGAGGAAACGGTGAGATAGTGGTTCTCAAACTTTCTTCTTCTTGCTTTTTTTTTTTTTTTTGGTGGCACTGGGGTTTGAACTAAGGCCCTCACACTTGCTAGATAGGTGCTCTTATTGCTTGAGCCACTCCAACAGCCTTTTATTTTTTTGTGATGGGTGATGGGTTTTTCGAGATAGGGTCTTGGGAACTATTTGCCCAGAGCTGGCTTTGAACCTTGATCCTGCTGATCTCTGCTTCCTTAGTAGCTAGGATTACAGGCGTGAGCCACCAGTGCCCTGCATCCTCAAGCTTTTAATTATGTCCCAATCACCAAGGAACTGTATTCAGTTCAGCTCCCAGATTCCAAGTCTGTTAGAGTAGCCCCAGAACCAACATTTAAAACTTTTCTCAACATTTAAGACTTCTCTCTGTTGAGCTCATGTTGAGCTCATGCTTAAAATAAGGGCCATGAGGATGGGTCATGGGGCCCAGCAGTCTGCCGACTGGTGCATCTTGGGACTTCTGGGAGAAGGGCCTAGGCAGAGGGAGGGTGGCTGTTGCCCCAGACTGGTGAATCCAATTCCCAGCAGTCTGGAGAGAGAGGATGTTTTGAGATGCCAGGAGCAGGTGTCTAAATGCTGGTGGGGTGGGGGATTATGGCAAGTAGCCAGGTGGGCAGGGTGCCTTGCTGGACATTCAGGGCTGGGTTGTGTATGGAGAGTGGAGGCAGATTGCCTGCTGTGGGGCCTCTGCCATCCCACCCCAGGTGGGGAGCGAACAATCCCAGCAACAGCTGCAGACTTTGCATAGTTAGTTTGCCTTTTCATTGCCTCCAGCTTTGTGCCCAAATACTTCCTGGAAATGGTTGGGAGACTCCAGATAGTCTTCCACTAATTCCATCTTCACCAGGGCTCTACATCCCTTGTAAGATCCTTCAAAGTCGCCGTCTGCCTCCAGATTTCTGCCACTTACCTCCATTCCTTGCCCCACTCCACCCTGCATTACTAGGCTCTAGTGTTCTGGGAACCAACCAGGTACTCTTG